GTCGTTAGAGTTCAGCGAAATCATCGAAATTATCACTAAAGACGAGCTGAACGTCACCGGAGAGGAGGATGTGTTTCACGCAGTGATGGCGTGGGTTAAGAGGGATGTGGACACCCGGGGCTCACAACTGCCACACCTCTTGACGTGCGTTCGTCTACCGCTTCTGTCGCCTGAGTTCGTCGCCGATTATGTCATCACCGAAGAGTTGATCCGGACTTCGCATTCATGTCGCGATTTGGTCGATGAGGCCAAGGATTACCATCTGATGCCACAGAGACGACCACTTATGCAGAGTTTCCGAACTCGTGTCCGGTGTTGTAACGATATTCAGGGTCTTATCTATGCGGTGGGAGGGCTCACCAAAAACGGCGACTCATTGAGTACTGTAGAGGTGTATAACCCGCAGACGAGTCACTGGAAAATGGCAGAAGCAATGACAATGTTGAGGTCGAGGGTCGGTGTGGCTGTCATGGCCTCCAAACTCTATGCCATTGGAGGCTATAATGGAAGCGAAAGACTGAGTACTGTTGAAGTGTTTGATCCCAAGAACAGGAGTTGGANAAAATGGCAGAAGCAATGACAATGTTGAGGTCGAGGGTCGGTGTGGCTGTCATGGCCTCCAAACTCTATGCCATTGGAGGCTATAATGGAAGCGAAAGACTGAGTACTGTTGAAGTGTTTGATCCCAAGAACAGGAGTTGGACTAAAGTGGCGCCAATGAACTGCAAGCGAAGGTAAGCCTCATTCGTGGGTTAACTGTGTTTTGATAATATACTTGAATGACTGGTCAGTGCTGTGGGTGCGGCCACTCTTCACAATATGCTATACGTTTGCGGCGGTTATGACGGCGTGTCGTCGCTCAGTACAGTCGAGTGCTATTCGCTGGACCGCAACGAGTGGGCAATGGTTACCTCAATGTCCAGACACCGATCGGCTGCCGGTGTGGTGGCCTTTGAGGGCCAGATCTACGCTCTGGGAGGACACGACGGCCTCTCTATATTCGATTCGGTCGAGCGATTAGACCCGCAAACCGGCAAATGGACTTTTATGGCACCCATGCGTACAAAGAGGTGCCGTTTAGGTGTGGCCACACTTAAGGGCAAAATCTATGTCTGCGGCGGTTATGACGGATCGACTTTCTTGCAAACGGCTGAAGTATATGATCCTAAGACAGAGGAATGGAGTTTCATAGGTATGGCCAACACGTTAACTGTACCCTCATTTTGATTACATATCTCTCTCTCTCTCCCTCTCTCTCTCTCCCATCGACAGCACCAATGAATGTAATGCGAAGTCGTGTGGCATTAGTGGCCAACTGTGGCCTTCTGTACGCCATTGGGGGCTATGGTATGTCTCAACATTTGTGACCACTTTTTTGTGATATTTGTATTGTGTTTCAGACGGCGTTTCAAATCTAAGTACTGTTGAAGTCTATAATGTGGAGAAAAATTGTTGGGATTTCACCACATCTATGGCCGCTCACGAGGGAGGCGTCGGAGTAAGTAGTGATTGGTTTGTGTTTAATACCATTTCTAAATCACTATTTTTGTTGCTATTTATAGGTCGGAGTTATTCCCATTTATTGATAAAACGTTTACCTATAAATATTTAAATGTATTTAAAGTGAATATCATCTCAAATATGATTTCATACACTATTAGCGGCCATCAATTTGTGATTTACTGTTGTTTGTAATCAATTTTTATTATATTTTCATGAGTTTATTGTAAATATGTATTTAAATGATTAAAAATAATGTTTAAAAATTTTAAAACAACACTTTTATTTTAATTGCTGTCAATTATAACCAATCAAATAATACAGATTATATAAGTTATCAATACAGTAGACTCTAAATTAACTGATTACAATATACAGTATAACAGTTATACTATAACTTATACAAGAGTTACAGTATTTATAGCAAAAGGTGTACAAATATTAAAATACAAAAGTAGACAATATTTGAGGTAAACGGTAAGAATATAGTGTTTTGTGATTTAACTGTTTGAATTATGACCGGTATTATCGGTACGACAATTGCTTTTGATTGATAAGAATAGGTATAGAGTTAAGAATATTCTTAATATTATTTAACATAACATAAAAGATACATTTAAATCAACTTTTAATTATTGATTGGTTTAATGGTTGAAACCAATCGAAAAATCAATGAATAATAAATAATGGAAACAAAATAGAAAATCATATGTTATTTATACTAACGGTAATTATTGGCAATAAGTTATTCAATGTGTATGTAATGCAATGGTTGAGCAGTTGGCTATCAATGGTTATTTGTGTTAATGTCAACTGAATTGAAATACTTGTGATGCGAATAAGTTTAATAGTTGAGACAATTAATGATAAATTTGTTGACCAAAGTGGGAATCGCTTTCTCAAGATCTGGAATCTTTGTGTTCGAGAGGTATGACATGACGTTAGGGTTGTCTATATTGGGATCTTTTTTGTGATCTTGGATGAGATGCTGTCGACACGATTCGAGTGATGCCGAGCGGAAGCCGAGAGCGCTGTTAGGTTTGGTGCAAAGAGTGCACAAATAGATGGGTTCGTATCCCATGTGTTGTTGGATATGCTTCTTGAAGTTCATCTCCGCCTCCATCGGCCGAATGTTCTCCAGTTTGCGATTGTTTTTAAATACCCTGTCGTTAAAGAACGGCTTCGAGTCGTGGGTCAAGACGTTGAGGCGCTTACAGACGGGACACCAGTCGCCGTACAGCCGGTGGATCTCCTTCTGGATCTTGAGCTCATTCACGAGACCGTCGATGTATTTAACCATTTTGTCGATCCATGACTTGTGAGTCAAATATCTCTTTTGATCGAACGATGCCCTCATGAGAAAGACGTGCTCCTCGTTGTGACCCAAGTATTGCTGCAGTGATTCAAACGCTAGGTTTTGTGGACAATGACTACACTTGAGCTTAATATTCAGTTTATGGCAGTAATGATCGATCGCTTCATTTCTCTCTCCAAACGTCTCGTCGCATAAAACGCAGAAATATTTGCGAGTATTTTGTTTGGCCTTAAAATGCGAGTAAAATTGCATTAATTATATTACAGATACAAATAAATACCGTAAATACCGGTTGTTGTAGTGAATCGTTAGAGACTTGATTCGTGTCATCGACGCTGTTGTTCTGAGATGTATTTCTGCTGGAAATCCTTTGCGCCGGTGTTGTCGACACATCCATGTCTTCAATGCGCTCTTTTTTCACAAAAGGGATCAACACTTCTTCGTCGTCATCGCTTCCATTCATAACGGAGTCTTCATCTGAAGTCAGAGTCATATCAATGACAGGATATTCTCTATCGGATTCGACGCTCGGTTCAGTTGGCGCTGAAGTGGAGGCCAAACCCATCATCTCATTGAACGCGTTCTCAATGATTGGATTCAAAGTGTTGGGGTTGGGGTTGAGGTACGGACGGGTACACGAGTGGTACTTGATTTTGTTTAGGTGCGAGTGGTCGGCCATCACTTTGTCGTAAATGCCTTTAATATCTGTGGCCTTCTTGTCGTCAATGAATTTAAGGCAAATAGAGGTCACAATCCTTGCGCTCCTCACCAGAAGACTGTCTTCGTCTGCGTTCAGGAGAGAGGCGTTCGACTCAATAAACTTCAGGTCGTATTTGATGGCCGCTTGTCTTCGGTAGAACTTATTGTCGACGCGAGTTTTGATGACATCCAGGTCTATAGGATACGCCACTTCCCCAACGTATTCACCGTCCAAATGATTGAACACTTTCGCCACTGCCTTCCATTCAGTTAATGCCATGATTTGTGTCAATGCTGTCAAGAAAATAACAATCAGTAAAACCAATGTACGGCACAAATTGTGTTTAAGATCTGTTGGAAAACTATGCGCAAACGTAAGTAATCGGAAAGGGGACTGGCCGGTAAGGAATTGAAGCCTATTTATTTTCCGGACGGCAAGGAGTAGCCAATATAGCTGTCTGCGGGAGCGATTTTTACCCTGAGGTACAGATCCCTTGACTTTCTCGAGGTCCCAGTTACTCAAGTTATCAAGGGCATTGTTGGCCCACTCAATGCGGAACGACTGGAAAAAGTTGGCCACATTGTCGTCGGTGATATCCCGGCCCACAATGCTTCCGAACCACCACTTGTCGTCCACAATGGCCCGGAATGTCTGCCCAGTGGCCCATTGGGTCATAATACTGGTCTCGTATAACTGCTTCAGGATTATGAAGTCGATCACACCGTCGATGTCGTGGAACTTAACGGTGAAGTAGTTCTTACTTTCGTTGCCGTTCTCGACCAAAGCGAGCGACAGTCGAGCCAAACGGATGTTCGCGTGTTTCTCAAACTTAATCTCCCGAACCCTCGCGAAGTAAACGCTCGCAGACTTCACGTACTTATTGGTGTTGGTCTGCCGGTAGAGATTCAGTTTCCTGACCGTCTCGATATACAGCCGGTGCCCGATCGGGAGGTACACCACTTCGTCGCCAATTTGTGGAAAATATGGGAACTTCTTGGGCTTCAGGTGCAACAACCAGTCCTTCGTCGACACTATCAAGAAATTTGCCATTAATTCCAAAAATTAATTTTAAAGATAACTCTATTGAAAACTTATCACTACTTTTGAAACATGTATTTATGTCAACTAGAAATAGGTATTAATGATTTCATTAACTGTCTATTTAACAAACGTTTAATTGTTTTATAAATAATTAACTTTAGTTATCTCTCTTCACAATGTGTCTTAACTTAAATTGTTTGTTTGTGTACCTGTGTTTTAACTTTTTTTCTTGAGAAATTGCTTTAAACTTGAAAAGTTGACTAAAAAATTATAGATAAGAAAACATAGATTCTTTGAGTAATCACATGACACATGTGTTGAAATTAAATTGTCATCAAAATAAGCCAATTGTTTGCTTTTGAAAGTCTGTCAAAAATGAAAAGTCACAAAACATTTGAACCAAAGGCTCAGATAAAACATTCAAACATTTCTAATACTGTTGTTTTATAATACTGTAAAAGCTATGGTGTAAAATCTAATGACTAAAACCAATACCTGGAGCACCACTGGGACCCCCATTGCCGACATCGATGGCATGACTAGGAAGTGGACCAGAAGTCGAGGACTCCATTTGTTCATCGGTTCGTGTGATGTGAGTGGTGGTGACGGGTCTTCGGGCGGGTTGGGGTTGGCTCACAATTGGCGTTGAATTGCGAGTCGAGTTGGCGCTCGACTTCGCGGCCATCGAGTTACTCGTGTCGAGTGGTGCCTGAGATCTGCGCCTACTTTCAGAACTAATACTTCCAGCGCTTGAATTGCTTTGTCTTCTGCTGTTGTTATTAACACGACTGCCATTCGAGGGAACGGTATTCACATGAATGCTGGCACCCGATGATCGTCTCGAGTGAGTGTTTCGCTCGTATTTCTCGACGTCTGAGTTCCATCCGGTGCTCTCATCTTTGTGAGCCCCGGGTGTCCACATCCCTCTTAACCCACGCCATCACTGCGTGAAACACATCCTCCTCTCCGGTGACGTTCAGCTCGTCTTTAGTGATAATTTCGATGATTTCGCTGAACTCTAACGACAAGAACTCATCCGATTTGGACACCTCTTTGAAGTGCTTTTGGATGAACTTCTTGGAGGCGTCGACGAGTGTGTGACAGCACAGGGAGTCGGCGAACGACTTGACGCCTAACACGTTATTGGTGTTGAGTCTGATCTTCAAGTACTCACAACAGGCGTCGCGAACCCCGAAGAGTTGGAGGAATGAGGCGCCGATTAGGAGCGACTGGACGTTGGCTGTGGTGATGGCTATACGGCCTGTGTATGCAAACTCCAGAAGCGATTCCATGGCTGAGGCCTCGATGCTGTCTTGGATGCGAACCTCTGTTTGTGTGCTCTCTTTCATGTCAGTCGTGAACATCGCGTGGAAATAGCTATACATTTCATTTACAGACACTTTGTTTAATCATCACATCATTGGTTCCTTTGAAATGGTCAGCACTTACGGAACGGTAGCCGAGAGGACCACCCGATGCGCCAAAAATGACTGGTTGTCCACCTATTCATATGGTTAGCAATAAGCAAATTGTCAGGGATTTAGTGATAATTAAGTGGTCTATTGGTTATGTATGAATCAAATGGTGATTACTTTGATGGAAATGTCACACAATTTATGACTTCTTCGGAGGTCATCGAAGACTGGGAAGCAATTGACGCCCAAATCGTTTTGCACGAAACGATAGCATTCATCAGACAATGAGCTCATTGAATGGCACTCTTCCTCCAGTTGTAGCTGACATACAGACATACAGATTGTCACCAAACAGTGGATACACTGGTTTCACTCATACAAACCATGGCTGACGTGAAGACTGTTTTGAGATCGCTGTCCAAATCGAAGTCCATTCGTTGAGCCATGACTTTGGTGTTCATTCATGTGATGGTAACAAAGAGTGCCAATAAGACAATGAAGTCTTAAACAACAAGTGGTTATCAATGAGATAATGACAACAATAATATCACGAATGAGTGTTTGTCTGAAGAGTTGTTTGCATTCAATGTTTGTTTTGTTTTGGTTTGCATTGACTGTCAGTCACGTGAGTCCTACCACTACTGTCTCACACACTGTCCCCCAATGAATGCAATGAATGTGAGTCTCATTGCAAAGTGTTTATGAAGAAAGTCATTGCCTTTCGTATGATATGTGCGAGTGAGGGGTGACCACAGGTGTACACCACTGGGGGGTATAGCAACCAATTCTAGTGTTCATTCAATTTATTTCATTCAATAAGTTAGCCTGGTGTTCCAATTTCAACCATATCTAACATTAAATTGATTATTCTTGGAGATATACAATATACAAAATTTCTGTATTATACTGTATTACAAATATATTCTCAATTTACATTACAGAATCTATAGTTATTGTATAAAATCTATACAGTCATTTCTACAGTATATTATAATTGCATTTGAAACTTGGTATATATCTTACCTCCCATTTACTAATACAAATTCATGCGTTTAATATAATTTAGCTAAATCAATGTCAAGAATATTCTGTGAATAGTTTGCTAAAGTCATGTATTATTACAGTATTACTGTATTCTAATAATAGTAGTAACTTACTAGTAAATTATAAATACAATTTGTACAATTTTTTATGAATTTAATTAATTATGCAGTAGAAATGACAGCCTATTTAAAATTGACAATTTTACACAAATTATAAGCATTACTAAATTTATTACAGTATAATAAAATTTAATAACAATTGCCAAGTTTGAACACCGTAACTTATAAAATAATTTTTAGCAACTTTATGGTCATGTTTATTTGTATAGTTCAAGAATGATTAAACCGATGATTTTTGTAGGAGACCTGCTTGATCACTTTGATTGAACCAGAAATTTACTGGAAAAACATAATACACCATAATTAAGGAATTGTATTATCAATTAATGAAAAATTAATATGAACAAGTTGTAGTGATGAAATAAATGGATAATACTTTTAAATTTTATTTTAAAAAATTTATTTATAAATTTAACGACAATTCAATGCTAATTATAATGCAATAAATTGCACACAAACCTTAGTTTTTATAAGTAATTATTAAGATAACTAAAGTTCTTAAAGTAATCTAGTTAAAACAGCACTTTTAAATAAGCTAATGTCTATGCATTGACATATGTTTTTAATTGTATTTATTTATTGTTTTATTATAATATTCCTTAATAATGTAATGATATTTGTAACACCAGTATAACTGTATAAAATAACTTATAGTAAATAAGTACAGAATAACTTTCACTAAAAAGTAATTCGTTGAATATTTTACGACTATTATAAAAATCAGTGCAATTGGTTACAGTTAACAAAATCTATTATACTATTATATGGTAAGTGTACTTGATACCTGTCTTACACTAAATAAGTCACGGATTTTTGCACGCGTTTCGCACCTATCATAAAATATTATAACTATTTATATTGAATAAGAGTTAAAAGTTTGAAAAATTAATAATTAAACAAGCAATTTCATGAATTTATATTAGAAACAATATTCTGATTATATACTGTACTATTAAAAATATAATTACTCTATATTGAACATTGGTATAATGTAAGTAATTAAACTAGTTAATCTTTTTAAAAATATTATAGATTTTTCATATTTAATAGAAAGTAGTGATTATAAAGTTATTACAGTATAAAGAAAAATTTATAGAAACTCTTTTCACATGATTTTATTAATTGTTTGCAAATGTGAGCTATTAATTATTTTGTTAGTAATGGATATATAGATAATATTGATATTAATGACTAGATTTTTTTTCTGAAAAATACTTACTATATGTCAAATAAATTGTGTAATTTTAGCTATTCACTTATTTTGTATTTTCATTGTCTATGGAATTAAATTTCATTGTAATCTCATAATGACATTTATTAAATATCGTTATTTCAGATTCACTTTTGTTTCTATTGTTATTTTGTTATTAAATAATTATTATTTGCTTTTTAATTTAATTTAAGAATATGTTTATAAATGCAAATAAGAATTCTTATGAATAATACAGTATATAAATTTTTTCAGCAAAATAATTCAAAATAATTCAGTAACATAACTTTTATTTTAAAAATTACACGAATTCTTATGTGATTTAATTATTAAATGAATTTTCATGAACATTTCAATTTCTATTGTTAATGATATTTGTATAAAATTATATTTAATACATGTATTTGATATAAATTTTAATTCATATGAAAACCATTTCACTATAAATTATGGAAAGAATGCAATTAAGCATAGATTCTGTCGACCAAAATGATGCCGACGTTCCCATCCCTATCCCAACATCACTCAAACTCAAGCTATATTTGGGTCGAGTATTGTCTGCATGGGTAACACAAAACATTTATGGAGGTAACAAGCACATTTCTACAATAAATCCTATGTCATAGGGTGACCGTATGTGGCAATTCGCAATTGGCCTATACTTCATCAAACTATATCCCGGATCATTCCTGTTGGCGGCCATTCACGGCGTTATATCCTCGGTATTGGTTTTTGTGACGGCGCCTATAATTGGCTATTGGATCGAAAGGACGTCCCGTTTGAAAGAAATCCGGATCTCTTTATTTCTTCAAAATGGTTTCGTGGCGTTGGGAGCCGTTTGTGTGGCTCTCTATGAGATTGAAAGCATCGATCAAAATGTATGAGATTTATAGGCCTATCAAATTGATTGAAACTATAATTTTTATACACATTTTAAGATAAAGCAATGGATCGCATGGATCGGATTAATCGCCTTTTCAATCATAGCTCAGATATGGAGCTTTGGGTTCACCACATGTCTGGAGAAAGATTGGATTTTATGTATAGCCACAACTGAATCCCAACTGACCGGTGGGTACACGGAATATTCTGTTACAATATAATGATATAATGTTTTAATGTGTGAAATGTGTGAAATCCAAGATTTGAATGCAATGCTAAGACGTCTGGACCTAATCTGCAATGTGGCGGCGCCTTCAGTTGTGGGCGCTCTCATGAATTTGTCCCTATTATGGTCGGCCGTATTCATGTCGGTGTGGAACGTATGCTCGGCTGTTGTCGAGTACACCCTTTTGCAGTCCGTCTACAAATCGGTTCCCAACTTAAGAGTAGAGAAGAAACAAAAACTGAGCGAAACATTCAAAATACTAAACATGAGTGCATTTGTCATGTATTGCAAGACATTCTTATGGCCGGGATTTAGCTTTTCGTTGCTATACTTAACAGTCTTAGGGTTCGACTCAATAACCATTGGATACGCGAGTGAGAAGGGTATCAACGAAACCATATTGGGTTTGGTGTCAGTGGCGGCCAGTCTGGTGGGGATCACCGGCACCCTATGCTATCCATTACTGGTCAAGAAGTTTGACGTCAAGATAACAGCGTTAATAGGATTCATAACTGAACTCATATGCCTTACCATATGTTTGGGTGACTCCGCAAAGTTTATTATACCCGATGAGAGGACAGGCGTTATTCTACTGCTGTCTGGTATTACTGCGGCCCGGTTTGGCCTATGGATGGCCGACATGGGGGTCAACCAACTGATCCAAACCGAGACCATAAGCCCTCCAATGGTGGGCAGCGCTCAGACGAGTGTTAATATTCTGATGGAATTAATAAAGTTTGTGATCGTCTTATGCATCCCAAGTGTTGAGCATTTCTATATCCTGACCCTTATATCCTATGCCTCAGTATTATTGGGTTCAATACTATTCGCTATATTTGTCGTTAGGAACAGACATTCACCCGAAAGTGAAAAGTTTTTCAAATGATTAATAAAATGAATTATTTTGGTTTGTCTCCTATTATTAACTGATAACTTATAAGTTATAAGTTATCGGTTAAAACGGTCGATATGTTCAATGTATGAGTTATTGTAATCAATGATTACAAACTCAACGATAGTTTAACTCAAGATTCGTGACATTCTTGAGATTCTTGAGATTCTTGAGATTCTGGGCACAAGAATATGAGATCACAAAGAGTACTGTTTGTGACAACTGGACGTAATTTATGGACAGAAAGGCTTTGTTTTGTTTACAAATACTGTTCATAACATTCAAAGAGTTACTAAAAGTCATAACAAAAACAGAAAACAATTTCGTATTAAAAAGCATTAATTAAACGATTATTTGTTAAACACTTTGAAAACTATTAGAGATTTTCATACAATTGACAACAAAATCGCTGTTTATTTGCAAATAAATGTTAAAATCAAGTCATCTATTGATTCATTGCTTCCCAACAGCCGTACGAGTAATCGCGGAAAACATCACTAAATGGACATAAAGTCACCGAAGAATGGTTCCAATGGTTCCGCGAATCAACGAAAGCGACCAGAAATGGCATTATATAAGCCGGGAATGGGAAAGATCCTTGCTAAGAAAGCAGATAATGGTGACACCATCGGTGGTCAGTGTCATCGAGTCTTTGTGCCAATCAATGATATTAACGATCTTTTTGTCGCTTATTTTCAGTGCAAAGCAAACCAGACATAAGTGGCGATGACTTAAGGCATGAGATAATGGTTGAGTCGCCGAAGACGGACTCCAGAAGTGATTTGAAGTCTAATAACAATAATAGCAACAAATGTGTGGCGAAGAAGCCGGACATCAAAGTGTATGTTCCGCCCAAACAAAGCACCGGACAATCGGCCACTCCTTCCACCACCGCATCCGACAACAAGACCGCCACCGCTGACACCAAAGCTGCCGTTCCCGCAGACAAACCACAGCCAAAACCTCAGAGGAATAGTGTTCCGCAAAACACTGATAATAATCACAACCAAAGACAACTTCAAAACAGTAAATCAGGTTTGGATTCAATGTTTGTTTTGTCGTTTCGATTGTAATGTGTTTTGAATTTGCAATGAATTTATAGGAAATAATAGACAAAAATGGGACCGAAATGAAAGACAACAACAGGAGAAGAGCAGCGAAAGACGTGATAATAAGTCATCGAAATATGAGAAAAGGCAAAGACATCACAACAACACGAGTGACAGGTCTGACAGACAGACAGATAGACTGGAGAGGAATGACAGGACATCACAGTCTAAGACCAACGTTGCGGACAAAAGTGGAGAAAATATGGGTTCAAGTAATTATGAATCAAATAAAAGCCAAACCATTGAAGTGTCGCATAAAGTGGACTATAAAGAGGAGACAACTCATAGAAAAACGAAACCAAATGAGCCAAAAGTGGTCCACAATATGCCCGAAAAGCATAAACACGACAAATACGAAGACTATGAGGACTACTATAACGTGGAGTTCAATCCAATCCACGCCAATGTCGACAGAAATGAAAAATTTACTAATAGTTACAGTAATAGTAATCAACGAAACAGTGGTACAAATGTGGAGATGCCTGTCCCTCGAAATGATGGCAATTATAACACAAATGACAACAAGTCTCGTGTAAAGCATGAGTCGGCGTCTAATAAACGCAATTTTACGGCAATTAAATCGCAACACAATCACAACAGATATGTGAAGACATTTGAACACCAAATTCCGCCCCGTTTTCTAAAACAACAACAATTGAAAAAAGTAAGCATTTGTTTGCTACCGATATTTAAATATTTATTGCCATACGGTATACACAGCTATAAAAATCTATAAAAACTAATTTATCGTTAGAATCAAAATTCTTAATTCAGTTTTAATCAAAATTCTTGTCCAATCACTGCATTAGTTTAAAACCATATGACATGAAAAGATTTTTTATCAAGGTATTGTGGGTCTGGAAGTGTTATCTAAATTAATTTGTATTTTAAATGCAATTTGAGTATCATTTATACCTGTGTTAGAAATGGATGCAAATATTTTATACTGAATTGTTTGTATGAATTGACAGCAAAACTCAGAACAGACACAACAAACTCATTACGAGAACCAAAGACGAGATTCTCTGCGAGAGTCGACATCTCAGACACAGACAGCTAATGCCGAAGCGGGTCCACAGCGAGGACTCATACGTCTGCCCAACAGTCAGATGACACCAAATGATTGGTCGGCACAACAGCCCAACACCAGTCACCACCAGAACCGGTCGCTTAACGCCAGCAAACCCACTGTAGCCATACGTCCCACACAACACGTGACAGCAGCCAATCCGATCCAATACTCGCCCTCTTCGAGTCCGGACACGAACTCGTTGTCCACAACAGTCGATAATTATCAGCAATTGTCGCCATATTTGCGGTCAAACAACGAGTACGCGATTCCGCACTTCATGTCGGCCGCATCGGTGGAAAACACGGAGAATTCGCGCCGAAAATTGAAGCCAATTATCGAGAAGAGTCTGAACGAGGCGTCGGCCGCCGAGACGGACCTCTCTGTCTGTCACGACCCCCAGAAAGTGGAACAAATCCGATACCGAATCCAATTGCGTTACGAACACATTATACTCAATGATCTGCGCTTTTGTGCCGAAACTAATGTCGAGCAGCGCTTATGGAAGTCAGCCTTCTATCAGTTCATTGAGCACTACCGGCGCCTAATGGAGCAGAACAGCGAACAACAGTCGGAGCTCAAGACATGTCTTCATAAGATCATAGACGAGGCGTCGCTCTTCTTCGAGAACCTATTGGTTAAAATGCAAGAGACGTATGGCTTTGTCATCGAGAAGCTGTTGGCCCACGAGTACGACTCCGACAACTCGGAGAACTACGAGACACTGAAACTGGTGTCCATTTCAGCCCAAAAGATATATCTCTATTTAGGAGATCTCTCGCGATATCGGGAATGCGAGACAAAGAACTCGACTTTTGTTAAAAGCAAATTGTAAACCATTTTGTACTCATTTCTTATTGAAATTGTCTATTAATTGTGTTTCACTTGTCGACAGCTTTTACTTAAGAGCACAGATGTTGGCGCCGAAGAACGGCCGCAGTTATAATCAGTTGGCATTACTGGCGATGTATCAAAACAGACGCTTAGATGCCGTCTATTACTATATGAGAAGTTTGGCCGCAAGTAATCCCTTCCTAACTGCCAGAGAGAATCTGTTGACTATTTTTGATGAATGCCGGCGAAAGGTATTAAAGACTTTTTTAGATAAAAATTGCCAAAAATTGTATAAAATTTTCGTTTGAATTGTTTTTTAGTACGAATTGAACGAAAAGAAACGAAACCAAGACTTAGAAGCAAACCGTCGAAAACGAATGGAAGAGTTGGAGGGTTTGGCGGCCGATAAGAATCGACTCGAGATTTGGATCCGTTCTGATGGCTCTTCTGCGGTGATTAACAATTATAAGCAGTTATTCGAAACCGATTCCGACGCCAAGAAAGAGAATTTGGATTCACTTTCATCCGTTGATGTACGCCATGATTGTCGAGATTATGATATTTGTTTCAAACATTTCATACTTTGTTTGTCTTATAGTTAAACAAACGATTTGTTCTCAGTTTCCTTCACACTCACGGAAAACTTTTCTCAAGAGTTGGGTTAGTATTGGATAAATGTTTTTAATTTATTGCTTTTGTCATAACAATGACTTATCTTCTGTATAAATAGTATGGAATCATTTGTTCCGGTTGTTAACCAAATGTTAGCAGAGTTTCAATCACTTCTCCGTCGATCACCCATTCCTGTAATGTCTCAACGATTGTCACAACTGTTGGCAATCAATATGTTTGCAGTTTTCCACACATCACTCAAAGGTATGGATAGTAAACCAGTTTTGTATTCATTTAATTTACATAATATGCTAATACCACATATGACTACATTTTTAGACACAACCTATGGTTCAAACTGTCGTTCCCTTCTGCAGGAACAGGCAATACAAGTGACGCTCGCAATGATGTCATTAATACTCGAATGCGCTATCAATACACTAAAAGTCCAAAAGGCTTCCGAAACTAATTCTGATATCATTTCTGACGATTTGACGGAATTGTTGCCAACGATTAAGTTATGGACCGATTGGATGTCATGTCAGAAGCAGCTGTGGTGTCCGCCACCCCCTCCCTCTGACTTCAGAATAAAGTAATTATAAGTTTAAATTAAATTATTTAAAGAGTTATTTAATTGTATTTTATGTACAAAACAGTTGTCGCGCTGATGGAGATATTTGGACCCTTTTCGCAGAATTTTTGACTTTATTAACGAAAATCAATATCCGAAGTGTGAAACTGTTTGGCAGCAAATTAGAGGGCTGTGAGCCTATCATACTTCCAGAGGACACCTCTTTGGCCGGCTTTCTACCACTGCTGGGTTCCCCACAATGCGTTCAATTCGCACAACCAAACTATGATAAAGTGATGCCTTTTTTGTTGTTTGAAATTAATTTCTATCAATGTATTCAACAAATATTTAATGTTTAGGAAAAGGCGAGAACCTGTTTGCGTTTGACTGCAATTCAATATTTCGGTGACTATTTGTGTGGAATCGTTGAGCCGTACCTTAAATATGATGTCGAGAACAAGGGTTTCGTATCACTCATACCCACATCCGTTACCCCCACTGACGACCAAACGATTATCAAAGAATTTAGTGAATTAGAGATTGTATGCAATATTTCTTAACTTTTATGCCGTAATACTAATCCGTTTTTTATATGATAGTCGGAGACGGAAACCGATGAATACTCTTATGAATTATCTTCTGCCGAGACTAACAATACAATGAGTAATGATTCTGATGTGAAAAGTCCGGAACAAATGGAAATCGAGAAGTTGTGGTCACTTCAGGAGAAACTCAAGAAAGCGAAAGACAAACAAGAATTAATGAAACAGACGGTTGACGTATGTGTCCATAGATTACACGCATTCTTATAGAGAAAATCTTTTTAATTGTTTTAAAACTCAATTAAAGGCCGTATTAACCGAAGAGAACCAAAACAAACCGTCTAGAATTGTAGTGCAGCCCCGGTATGTCATACCCGACACCAACTGCTATATCGATCATTTGGACAAAATTAAGCGAATTATTGAATCGAAATATTATGAACTCATTGTTCCGTTAATCGGTTTGTTTTGTAATTTTGTCTTTTGTTTTCACCAAAATTAATGAATCGATTGTTTCAGTGATTAATGAGTTGAATGGACTCAAGACTCGTGGCATTCAGACGACTAAACCGTTGACTTTTAGCGATCGGTTTGTTTTGTAATTTTGTGTTTTGTTTTCACAAAAATTAATCAATCCATTGTTTCAGTGATTAATGAGTTGAATGGACTCAAGACTCGTGGCATTCAGACGACTAAACCGTTGACTTTTAGCGACGACCACACGGGCCAAGTGGGCAAAGCAGCCCTCGAGGCCATGGAGTACTTGGTGTCCGCTTTTAACGACAAGAGTTTGAGATTAAAAGCTATTACATCGAAGGGATCTCTTTTGGAATCCATTAATTTCATCAGCGAATCAATTACTGATACACAGGTTTGGGAGCACTTGTTATGCCAATCATTATGAGGACTCTTATTGTAATGACTTTTATGTGGACTTCAGGGCAATTCAAACGACGACTTCATTCTCAGCGCTTGCTTTCACTTCATTAAAGACAAACCCAAAGAAAAGGCTACGAAAGAAAGTGATATGAATTCAGGTATAATTCCTATACTTTAGTGAATCCTATGAAATATTATGAATACAATGTATTTAAATATTGATTTCCAGATGAATCAAACAGTATTTTTAGAGAAGTAGTACTTTTGACGGATGACCGCAATTTAAGAGTCAAATCGTTGGGACATAACGTTCCGGTCAGAGGTTTACAGCATTTTGTGAAATGGGCGGCCATTCCTTCCGATGCAAATCATGTTAAACACAAATAATTGAATACAAAAAACCATTAGAATTACCGATTCGTTAGGAATCTGTGGCTACAAAATCATGTCTAGAGTCCGATGTACTGACAAAAAAGTTTAGAAATATACTAAAAAACGCAAAGTTATTCTCACATTATTATTAAACAACAGTAAAATGTGTTTAATGATATTTATTATTGACTTATTGTCTGTTAATCACAATGATATAAATATTAGGAATTTCTATTTCACTGTTTATAACAAATAGAATCGTGTCTTAAAAGCAATTACAAGTGAATTGTATCTTAAATTCTTATGAAATTTTATTTTTCAAGTTTTTATTTTTTTTTCAATTCTTGTTGTCATCACTTCTTATAGTCTATTCACAACATAATCGATGCGTTTCTAATGAATTGATTGCTTGATTAGTTTTCTATTAAATTTTACGTGACTTAAAGTTACTATTTATTTATGTCCTAATCTTTAATCAAATGAATGAATTTTGAGCAATTATTATAATTATTTCTTACTGTCGGGTATTTAATAAAAAACACTATTAATAAAAAATTCAAAATTGTGTCAATAAAAGCATTTTAAACTAATTTTATGTATTTTAGTTGAACAGAAAACAATAAAATTCTGTCTCATTATATCTATTAATACTAGTAATTAGTTATCATTAAAACATTAGTGACTTATTTACAGAATAATAATGAGTAGAATTTATTTTTCATACAATCATCATGGTTAATTATAGATATGTTTGTTTCATGTGTTACTAATGTGTAATATCATATAATATGTAGAATTTGACAGAATTATCATTTTTAAAAACAAATCAAGAAGTAAAGAATAATTATCTGGGTGCTATATTTTATTTTTCACTAAATGGATACTATATTAGAATAAAGTGAACTCAAGTTCAGTGAATACTTTGTTTTTCTTAAAACTCTTGAGTTTACATCAAATGTGTTCATGAAATAAGAGCTATTTGTGGGAAAAACATAATTTCCAAATCATCTCCCATTGAATCCGATGGCCAACCGATGTCTTCATCGTTGCCTTCTTCTACTTCCACTACGACTACGCGAACGACTGCCTCCTCGTCCCCGTCGACCTCCTCTGCGACCGGCTCTTCGCTCTCTTCTAAGTGTTTCCTCTTTGCGAAGACGTCTCAGTTTCTTGAGTCGTTGTCGTCGTCGATACTCTCGACTCCTTCGCCGCCAATTCTCGCGGATTCGCTCTCTATAGGGGTCTACCGGTTGTTGCTGTGCCCAGAGCTCCGGTCCGGCCCAGAGGAAGGGGTGTTCGTTGACCACCACTGGTGGTGGCGTCGGTTGGACCGGTTGTGCGAGTGGTGTGGCGTTCGCACCGGCATTCTGTTGCCCACCGGTGGCATCGGAACTGTTCGCAGTGGACGACGAACTGCCGGATGTATTGTCTGTGGACTCACTGGACATCTCCTTTATTCTGGTGACCACTTGACTGTCAGTTAGACTTGAAGTTTAAATTTCGTTCATTCATTCACGAGATGTACAATACATTCAATATTCAGAATATTCTGTAATAAATGTAACCAATTCTTACAATGCAATCAATAGCGCATTGAATAATAAAAAACTTTTTAAATGAAAAGTTAATTCACAAAATGAAAGTTAATAAGAGTTGAATGAACTGAAAGATTAAGCGAATAACAGGTACAACGAGTCGATCATTAGAAATGAATGGCAAACACAATAAGAAAGACCAGTCTTCAGGCAACGACAATGAGAAGCAATTTGTGATGGAAGTGATGCGTAAGAGTGATGTGAATTTGCGAAGAAGTTTACGTTTGGAAGTCCTAAAGGAAGTCATTATTGAAGAGCTCACCAAACGCTTGAATCCTATTACCACTGATTGCATACAAGACATGCAGACGATGGCAGACACGGCTCTCAACCAACAGATACCACACCTGAAGACATGTTCGACTGCATCTCAAGACGAGACCAAACACTTCTGCATTCAATTGAAGTCTCAGTTGCGAGAGAGGGCCGACACAAGCATTGCTTACATCGAAGCCATCATTGAATCGGTGATCAATGCTATCAACCATATCATCGAAACTTTCGGTGAAGTCGTGACAGAAGTTATTGTAGAAGCAATCCATCAAATGCAGTCAACAACGAGCGAGAAACTCAAGGATACCATCGAAACCATTATATCAAACATCAAACAGAATTTAAAAGAATAATATACTTTACAAACAAATAGTTTTATGTCTTCTCACCAAAGTTTGCCATTTATTTCGAAACATTCTTAGTGTTTGTCAAAATTAATTGGATATCAAATAAATTCTACTTTAAAATGAGATTTATTTACTTGATTTGACTTAAAAGACAAAACGGTATAAATATACAAAATATGGTACAAATAAAATATCTATAAAATAAATATGCGCTAAAATCCAAGAACTTGTGGTCAATAAATGCTATCTTTTAGATTAGATTCCATTTCTTGCTGTCATTGGAGTTACAGAAAGACATTATCACATACTCTCCCACAGACTCGCTCTGAGCGCCCAAACACAGACCGGCGGCCATCGAATAAATGGCAGTATTTTTCTATTTATAATACAAACAATCATTAAATTGATGTACAGTTATAATAGTAATCCTGTGGGACATACCTTAGCCGAGTGTTTCCAGTCCTGAGTGCCACCCATTTCGTGACATTTGGCTAAATGTGGATATTTATTGTCATCGGAATCCAAACACAACTTCTGGCCTAACCTTAAGTCGTGTTTAACGGTTTCGTACCATAGCTTTGGACACAAAATAAATGTTCAGAAAAGTGATTGAAATAAATGCCAACAAACCTGTCGCCGAATTTGGGCGCATTTCTGTAGTAAAAGTTTTGATCCCTTATATGTGGCCTCGGATTCAGATTCGACGCACAGATCGCTTCCCGAGAGTTGTATTAAGTATTTGTCCACAACTTTTGGCAGTTTTCTAATCATTACATTAGATTTGTTTTTCATATTCTTCGACATCTTCTCTTTGATGGCTTTCTTCCTCTCCTCCAAGTCTTCTTTAGGCGACGGAAGTCTCAGCTCTGGGTATATGTTCTTGAGATACCAATCAAATGAACTGCAATTGAGTCTCTCTCTTAACGCAACTCTATCGCTGATATCACCATAAGATTTGTTAATAGCGTCCGGTCTTTGAATGAAATAAAATTTCTAAACAAAACATAAGATTTGTTTCGTAAGACTCAAGACATAAGACTCGTAATACAGGACACAACGATTAGTTAACATTTGAAATTACTTTGAAGTCATCCATCCATACGTGGGCCACACGTAAGGAATTGTAGGTTAATGTGTCCTCACCAGTAGGCGAACCATACGGACGCCTTTGTCTGAATACGTGTCCCACACGAGAGCACGGAATTATCTCAAGCCTTCCGCCGCATAACCATATCTGTTGCAAATCATAGCAATTGTCAGTCATTTATGATTTTATCACAAAATCGTCAGTTGTTTACCCGAAAAGATATTTCGAGATTCTCTCCGCCCCTAAGAGTATAAATGCATTATTTGCTACAATACATACCACGATAGATATGAATACAAACCATATATCCATTCCTCTGTCATACTCTCCCATTTCGAAGTAATAGTTGCGGTCCATAGCAAACAGCCCGCCCGCCATTGTCGGCGAACTGATTCATAGCGTAATATATCATTAGTTAAATGCTTTGAGAGTAAAAATAAAACAAAAAAATTCATTACGGAATAGGTTTTATGAAATCAGATTTAGCTTGAAGCTTATTGTGTGGAACGGAATCCCATTTAAAGTGAAGTCCCCTTTAATTAAAGAGATATGTGGTTATCATAGAAAACACTTGACAGAAATTTATGACAAACCAATTGAAGCCTCCCTTCACTATAGGAGAGGCCGTGTATTCAAAAGTGTTGGCATTAATGATATCAATGATGGGACAGACGACTGTTGTCCGGTTCTCATGAATCCGTGTGAGGAGTGGTGTCAACCAATTTGTATTCACTTCGCAATGACTGTCCAGAAAGACGAGTACCTGTCCGGTGGAGTGGTGGGCGCCGTACATACGGGCCCTAATAAGGCCGGCCCTCTCGGGCGTCCGCAACAGCTTTACTTTGTTCGGCAGTTTCTGGTAAACGAATTCCATTAACTTGTCTTTGATCTCAGCTTAAGATACAAAACCACACAACCATTCATTAGTGAGACATTCATTTCAAAGACTTTAGAAAATGTGGAATAAATGAGAATCAGATAAAACCCTTAAGAAGTTCTAAATGAATGACTCAATGGATGGATACCGTCATCGCTGAAGTCATCGACGAGCAGAATCTCGTGAAGAATATGATCATCAGTTCGTTGGATAACACTGTAAACGGTTCGCAAGAGTGTGTGGAAGTGTTCGTTGAAGAAGCAGATGATGACGGAAGCGGTCGGCAAATCACTCAACGGAACAAATGGTTGACTCGTTTGGCACAACGGGTTCCTCGTGTCCGGGATCTGTCTCTTAAAGCCAATCCGATTGCTGATCAACACATTGAACGCGTGTTTCTTATATCCCATGTCTTTGATCCTCTTCTCCTCTTTGGTGTTAATAATGCCTAAACTCATGAGTCGATTGGTGTCCTGTGAAGAGCCGGCCATCAACTGAATGGCCGTATTATACCATTTAATGTCTTGTTTCTGTCGGAACTCATCATCGACTGGATTATCATTAATGAGATTCGACTCAATCAGCCGTTTCTGATCCTTATTGTCACTAATCTTCTTCCGGAGTCTTAATTCATTCAAATCGTTATAATTAGAGTTCAGACGAGATATGAGTCGATGTCTTACGGGAAGTCTCGACACAAACAATGAGTTCTTTGAGTAACTCTTGGCATTGAATTCACGGCTTCTCAACACATATAAGTAGATAATGAAGAGCCAGACAATGGATGTGATGATAATACCGCAGAAGAATGACTTCATTCGCAACATATCTCTTCACATAATGTTTTGGACATCGGTTTTGAGTTCAGAAATACTTTTGAAAAGAAAAAACTTTTGGTTTCAATGGTTGGCCGAAGAGTTCATTGAAAACTTTATAAATAAAAAGTCATTAAAAAGTTTTTTTGGCTATTATTTGTACAAAAAGTCAAAACAATTGTCTTTACATTCAAATCACTTTTCATTGTTTTTTTGACACTTTTACAGACAATCACTTCAAATGATTACTATATTTATCGTGATTTTTGGTTTAGTATTAAACACTTTAATTCAATTCAAGACATGATTTTTGTGGACACAATTCACACACCATTTGACACATTAATTGTTGTTTTTGAGTGCCTTTTGACAAACACTTGACTTTCGCGACAAACATCTGTCAAACACTTGTGAATGAGTTATGTGTTCACAACACCTCTCATCTCATCTCACAATCAATTAATTATTCATTCAAAACGAGCCCTAATTGCGTGAAAAGCAATGCATTTGTGTCGCAAACACTCACTTATCGATTGGTTTTGTTTACAAACCACTCGTTCACTCACTCAAAGGCACGTGTAGTCAGTGTCACACCAATTACGTGAAGCATTGCATTGTATGGCAAAGAATATTCTGTACATAACTTATACATACATTCTCTGTATGTCAAGAATATTCTGTACATAACCTATACATACATTCTCTGTATGTCAAGAATATTCATATATTTTATTGTTTTCGGTATTATTTTTACATATAAGTAGTTTTTGTACTATTATTTGCCGGGTTATTTTATGTTTGACAAACATATTTGTCATAAATATATAGGAATTTATTGCAATCTTTAGCTAAAGACTAGTTTCTCTTTGACAACATTGAAGTGGATTTGGATTTTGTTTTTGATTGAATCCAAGAAAATTGAGTGAAGATTGCGTTTAATTGAATCCATGGATCGGTTGACGATTAGCGTCGATATCCTGGACACGAAGTATTGTATCAATCGCTTCAGTATTTTGACGCCAATTATATTCTCCGGAATATTGACGTCTACTTTGAATCCACTGATTTTGCCCACTCTTATGCCCACCAACTCTATCATACCATCCCTTCGCTCAGTCATCTCAAACTGAATCTCAAGTTTTCGGATCTGTTTGATCACACATTTGATCACAAAAATCAATTATATGTCTGCTTTGATAATATAAATAAACCTATGAATTAATCTTTAAATACAGTATATTTGAGCAAGATGCTATCACCATGCTAATATCATGTACTATATTATATTTAATTAAGATTCTACAAAAAGTATTATTCATATTATGCCTCATGTAATAAAAAACATATTAAATAATACTCAACACTAATGACTGCATTCTCGGAGAAATTATTGCCAAATAAGTTATATATTTTCCAGTCGTATATTCCCATCAAATCCTCTAATAAGACAACAATTGTATATTTGACGGTCTGGTCGTCCGTCTCTTCACACACGGGTTGACCAATAATTTTAAAGTCTTTATTAATCGTAAGCTTTCCGTTATCTAACACTACTTTGAATCCATTTCCCCGTTGTATTGGCCGTAGTCTTAGTAATGTTGGCACAAATTTGCCCAAAATATTCGTAACCTTTGCAAAAGAAACTGAAGTTTATTTTTGATAACATTTCAAATGGTTTGTATTGACTTTTGATTTGATATCCTGGTCATTGAGCGCACATTTTCTGTTATATTTCACATAATTAGTTAATTCAGTGTTTGTCTCAATTGGTGTCGAATTGAATTCAAAAAACATTTCTTCAGACATGACATCCGATACTAAAGACAAAGTTGTAGTCATTTCTATGGGTCCTTCGGCATTAGCGTCACGTTTGTTGTATAAGACGTGATCCCATTTGGAGTTCTCTTAAGCAAAATATTTTGTTTAGATTTAAGGTTAAGATTTTATCACAACTAACAAGGTTTACCACTTTCATCACAGGCTTTCCGTATATTAGAAACGGTATAATTGTTAACAGAATTATTTGATTTAATTTAAATGAAAACATGTTATCCTATAAAATATATCTAAAACTAAATTTCAACTAATTTAATACTACTTTACTGTCAGTTTTTAAACATTAAAAAGTCATCTCAATTCGTAACTAATCTTAATCCAAATGACACACAATTTGGAGTAAACAAGTGTAACATTAGGTTAGACTGCAGTAATTCCGGGCAAATCTGGTGTCGCATTCACTCATATCCTTCCCATTGACTGAAAAGTCGTTGTTATAAATGTCAGACAAATTTTGAAGTTTATTTGAGTTTATTCTCACAATTAATTGCCATTTACGTAATGGTGACCAAAATTGTATTTTTAGTAAATTTACTGTTTATGCGGAAATTAATTATTCCACAGATTAGTCTCATGTAAAATAACATATATTTTCAGAAAAATTGTTGTTTCAACAAATGTTAGCATTAAAAATACTGACACACTCATCATTTCTAAGTTAGAGTAGTCGCTACCTAAACATACAATTTCCAAATCTACTAGGTACTGTACAAAAATAATTAAATACTTAAAGAATCAAAATGAATTTGAATTTAAAATTAAATAACATTAATAGTAAGTACTCTAGGTACTAAGTAAATAGGTAGTACTCTATTTGCAATCAACGTAAGATCTAACAAATTGACAAATGTAGCCTTCAATAGTTTTCATTTATAACTAGAGTAAAGCAATATGGTTTACGGGTAACTTAATACTATACTAGATTAAATTACTTATATCATAAACTGTATAAGAACAAAATTAAAAACATGCTCACAATTATAATCAAAATTATTTTTTAGTAAATAAAACAAGATTTTTAAAACTCATCAGGCGTGATCCACAAAGTACTTACTCACGTCTAGGGCGTAGGGGAGGTCATACCAAAGCGTATGTCCTCATGTTAAACTCCTATGTACGATGGGCGTGTAGGGGAGGGCCTAATTTTTTTTTACCAATACAGTATTTTGCGTACGTACTTTGTGGATGACGCCTTATGAACAATTAAGCATTTTGTAAAAAATTCCCTGTATATAACATCACTGCAATTAACATCAATATATAAATACTTTATTTCAGTTCAGTTATAGATTTGAAAACAAATTTAAGGCTTAATTTTGATCTTGTCTTGAATGGCATCATAGAAGACATCCCTCATATGCCGGACAATAGAATCCATGGATCCGTTGGCAACAGTTGTAGATATTCTTGAGATGATATACTCGAGCATTGGTTTGAGGAAATTGGTGGAAGCGATTCTCTCCGGAATATTCACATTCACTTTCAAACCATCAATTTTGCCCACTTTTAAGTCATCCAATTTGGACTTGTGTTGCATATTCTCCACGATCACGAACTCTATTAACATCTCTCTTATCTAAACAATTATTTAGAAAAATACTATTATTTGAGAAAAAGTTAACAAATTACTGAACTGTTATGAAAGCACTTTCGGTGAAATTATATCCAAACAGATTAAACACTTTCCATTCGTAGACACCCATCAGATCATTGAACGAGACAGTGATGTCGTATTTGTTTGTTTTGTCGTCGATTTTTGTACAAATGGGTTGACCCATCGGTTTGAAGTCCTTATTTATATTCAATTTTCCATTTTCTAAGATAATTCTCGTTGTATTTCCTCTCTTTATAGGCTTTAGTTTAAGTGTTTCCGGAATATATTTGTTCATTAATTCTGTAATCTAGTGATCAAAACATTATTTTATTGACTATGATAGCAAATAAATTATAAAATATTTATTGAAATGAAAGCAAACCTTATTAGCGAATAATTCTGACTCTAGAAAACAAGTCGTGGAATCGGTGTCAGACGATGAAGTTGTCGCAGATTCTGTAGGTCTGACCGGTTTGTCATTAGTTGATTCAATAGGATCCTTGTCTGACACGAGTACAGAATCGACTGCATTCTCCTCCACCTCAACATCTAATCCCTTGACTGTTGTCGGATCAACCGTTTTATAAGTTACGGGTTTATCGGCCGACCCCTCGCTTTCGTGAAATTCATAATCACTGTTCGGATCGTCTTAACAGAGAATAAAATAATATTTTTTTAATTAAATTCACTAATTATTCACTTCGTAATTAAATTTAAATACCGTTGATTTGAATAGTTTTAGCAAGAATCAAATACGGAAATATTATGCACAATAAGCTCAACAAATATATATTGTTTAATCTCATGATTCAATTAAACAATTCTTATATATTAATTGAAAATAAATTTGATAAATTAAAAAATTAATTATAAATAAATAAAACAAACAATTTTATAGCCTTTTTACTTTCAAACAAAAATTTAACACAATTAATATCGGAAATATTAATTTCCTTCCCGTTTAATTGGTATATAAATACATTGAATAAAGTTTTCAAAAGTTTGCAATTATCAATAATGTACTGTAAAATACTAACTAAATTTACTGTATAAGGATTATCCAAAAGTGCAATTTATCTATTTCAAAAACTAGCATATTAAATATTACCGGTACAAATATAATTTAACGTTTATTAGTCTAAACATCAACATAATAGACTCCTTTCCAGTACTTACCGTAAGATTTGGATATTCGCATAATAAAAAGGATATTACTAATTTGTTATAAATTAATGTAAACTCAATTTTAATGTATAAAAATTCAACATCAAATGAAATGTTGGGTTTATTTTAATGATTTTTTCACAATTTTATAGATTAAATCATAATAAAAAGGATATTACTAATTTGTTATAAATTAATGTAAACTCAATTTTAATGTATAAAAATTCAACATCAAATGAAATGTTGGGTTTATTTTAATGATTTTTTCACAATTTTATAGATTAAATGTTAACATTATTGCGAAATAAAGATTTATTTCTTAAAATAAAATACTCATAAAAATGTGATGTTTCTGTATATATCTGATGACAAAATAATTNATGAAATGTTGGGTTTATTTTAATGATTTTTTCACAATTTTATAGATTAAATGTTAACATTATTGCGAAATAAAGATTTATTTCTTAAAATAAAATACTCATAAAAATGTGATGTTTCTGTATATATCTGATGACAAAATAATTCAAACAAAAAAATCCAAAACATCGATACAATTAGCGAAACAAGTAAAGCAAGAAATGGAAAAATGTATCAAAAATTAACCGAAACTCTATTCATTCAAATAATAAATTATTTTTGTCTTAAATTAAGTCTAAATTTGTATTTTACACATGTATTAGTGTTTTGTTTGTATATATTCCTTATTTTCAATATTAATTTAAGAAATGGTTTTTAAATAATTAATTTAATAATTGCTTTAATGGTCACACAATTAAAACTATATCTCATGTGTTGTCGGCATTGGTCTCCGGTTCCACAAAAGTCTCTACACTTTCACTATGAGGTTCACTGCTAGTCATATTCGTCTCATTTATGGCAACATTTGTCTCAATATTATCGCTGAATACGGTCTCACTCTTGACATTCGGGGCACTAATCATGGGCTCATCAAATGTGCTCTCATTAGTGGGTACATTGTTTTCATTGCTATTCCAGTCATCATTATCCTCATTAGCGGCACTAAAAGTGTTAACATTATTATTGTCTTCATTACTACCGAAGCCATCATTGAGTGGCTCATCGTTTGGTTGATTGAAGTCTCGGTCCTGTCTTTTGTCGAACTTATTGTTATTATTATTGAAACCCGAGTTATAGTCACTATTGTTGTTGTTATTGTTGTTTCTGTTGTATTGTCTGTTGTCGTGTCTATCGTCGGACTTCCATCTGGAGGGCCGATCGCGGCGTCCAAAGC